AAACTCAAACGCCGGATGTTAGTTGCGCTGACGAGATGCGACCTTAAAGACAAGAGCTGCTGTACGTTCAAGGCGGGTCAGGCGGCCGCAGTCCGTGGGCAATGGTAGGGCGCCAACCGCGCGCCGTCCAGGCCAGCCTGGGGCCCAGGATCGGCGCACACGCCTTCCCAGGCCCAGCGCGCTGGCCCTGGCCGCATGCCCGGACCCCAAGCGCACTTGCTCCACAGCGTGGATCTATATGGATCTATAGGTCTCCTGGATGGGGTCGGAGCAGATGGGGTCGGAGGATCGCGCCGCATCGCCGATGCATCGCTCGACAAGGAGTCCGATTTGCTTCACGTCGACGTTGCCGATGCATCGCCCATGTCGACGACGCATCGCTGGCGCATGGTCGATGCATCGCCGAGGCTTCGCCAGTTTCACCCCATATGCTCGGACCCCATTTCATTTGGTAGGCCTCTACAGCCAAGATGCTGAAATAAGGGCTGCTTTGAGTTCGGAAGGGGCTCGCTGGTCCTTAGGTCATTCCGTGGCTATTCCTCGAGCCTTGCTCATGCACCAGACTCTCTTGTTGCCAAGAGGGGCGTCGTCCCTCCATGCTGCCACCGTGCCTGGGTTGCAGGTCTGAGGCCTCTTGGATGTTCGCTGGGATCTTGTAAAGACCTCCTTGAGGCCTCCTGGAGGTAGCTTTGAAGCCTCTGGGAGCTGTTTTTGGGTCTCTTTGGGGGACCTCTTGGGGACCTCTTGGAGCCCCGTGGGGCCTCTTGTGGGCCTCTTGGGGCCTCTTAAGGCCTCTTTGGGCCTTCTGGATGCCTCTTGGAGCGGAAGGCTCGGATTTCCAGTTGGTGCTCCTCCTCTTGGGCGCCTCTTGGGGCCCCCTCGGGCAGTTTGGGCCGTCTTGGGGTTCCCTTGGTGGCCTCTGGGAGCGCCTTGTGGTAGTTTTTGGGTTTTTTGGGGGATTCTTGCAGCGTCGGAAGCTCGAAAAATGGATAAGCATTGAGCAGCCTCCGGGAATGCAAGCATTATGCCCTCTCGGGGACCTCGCGGGAAGGCTCTCTTGGGACGCCTTCGGCACTTTTCGGCTGGCTGGAGGCCATCTCTCATGGCGCCAACATCGCAGAGCGGATTTCGTTCGGAAAACGACAGGGTGGGCCCGGAGTGTCCCAGAGAATTTCGTTCCGGATTGCGAGGTGACTCTCGTGCGGTTTTTTGGGGGCCAGGAACGAAGACGAAAAAGAATCCACGCGACATTCATGTAGTTTTTCGCTCGCCGCTTCGGGCAAAAATCCACGCAGAAATCTACGCAGAAATCCACTGCAGCACGTCTGCAAGGCCGGTGCAATGACATCTTGGGCGTCCTGGACCACTTGTTCGGCGACCCGGGGCCCTCTTGACTTGAGCCGTCTTGGGGACCTCTTGGGGCCCCATTGGGAGGCCTCGTGGGGGGCCTCTTGGGGCGTCTTGGAGGCATCTTGGGCCGTCTGGGGGCCACTTTGAGCGTCTTGGAAAGATCGTTCGGCGACTCGGAGCCCTCTTGGGGCCATCTTGGGGGCCTCTTAGGCCCCTCTTATGGCCCGCCTTCGGGCGTTCTCGGGCCCAAAGTCGTCGCGCGCGCCACCGCGCGGCGCGGGCCCCAGGAGATGTGAGAGCCGGGGATGGGATCCGGACAGAGGACCTGAGGACACCCCATCTCGTGCCTCATGGGCACGGTGGCGCATCTGGCGCTCCCCATCTCAGTATGGCCCGACCGTAGGCGGAGGGCGTGGGGACGAGGATGAATCTGTTCCAGAGCGTTCCCGAGCGCTCTCAGCGCTCTGGGAAGGCCGCGGCGCCCGAGACATCCTCCAAAGCCGCCGGACCTCAGAGACTCTCGATCTGATCCTTACCCGACCTTTCTATCCTCGCCCTGGCTCCACCTCGCGTGGCTCGGCGATGGGCTTCCCATATCATTCGAAAGTTTGGGACACCTGGAACCGC